GAAATTAAGGACGGAATAAAGAAATTCACAGCATCAAATGAGAATGAAAACACATCCTAGCAGAACCTTTGGGACACAGCAAAAGCAGTGCTCAGAAGTCAGTTTATAGCAATAAATGCACACATCCAAAAAGAAGAAAGGGCTAAAATCAAAACATTAACCCTACAACTTGAACAAGTAGAAAGAGAGCAGCAAAAGAAGCCCTCAGGTGCTAGAAGAAAGGAAATAATAAGAATTAGAGCAGAATTAAATGAAATAGAGAATATAAAAACAATTGAAAGAGTTAACAAGACCAAAAGCTGGTTCTTTGAAAAGATCAACAAAATCAATATACCATTGGACAGACTGACAAAAACAGGAAAGGAAGCAACTAACCCAAATAAGAAAAGACATGGGCGATATCACGACAGACCCAAATGAAATTAAAAGGATCATAACAGAATACTATGAAAAATTGTACTCCAATAAATTTGAAAACCTAGAGAAAATGGACGAATTTCTAGAAACACACTACCTACCTAAACTAACACAAACACTGGTAGGACAACTAAATAAACCTGTAATAAAAGAAGTGACTGAAAAGGTAATTTAACAAATGTTGCTGGCATAACTGGATATCCATCTACAAAAAATGAAACAAGACCCATACCTCACACCATGAACAACAACTAACTCAAAATGGATCAAAGACCTAAATATAAAATCTAAGACAATAAAGATCATGGAAGGAAAAAAGAGGGATAACTCTAGGAGCCCTAATACATGGCATAAACAGAATACAAAACATAACTAACAATGTATGAACACCAGAGGAGAAACTAGATAATTGGAACCCCCTAAAATGAAACACTTACGCTCATCAAAAGACTTCACCAAAAGAGTCAAAAGACAACCTACAGACTGGGAAAAAATTTTTGGCTATGACAAACCCGAGCAGCATCTAATCTCTAAAATCTACAAGATACTGCAAAACCTCAACAACAAAAAGACAAATAACCCAGTAAAAAAATGGGCAAAGGATATGAAAAGGCACTTCGCCAAAGAAGACATTCAGGTGGCTAACAAACACATGAGGAAATGCTCCCGACCATTAGCCATTAGAGAAATGCAGATCAAAACTACATTGAGATACCATCTCACCCCAACAAGGCTAGCATTAATCGAAAAAACACCAAATAATAAATGTTGAAGAGGTTGTGGAGAGACTGGAACACTTATACACTGCTGGTGGGAATGTAAAATGGTACAACCACTTTGGAAGTCAATTTGGCGCTTCCTTATAAAGCTAGAAATAGAAGTACCACACGACCCAGCAATTCTGCTTAGCGAAATAAGAGCCATCACACGAGTAGCTGTCTGCACACCCATGTTCATTGTGGCACTGTTCACAATAGCAAAAAGATGGAAACAACCTAGGTGCCCATCAAGAGATGAATAGATAAACAAATTAGATATATTCACACAATGGAGTATTATGCAACAATTCAGAACAATGGGGAATCCGCTAAACATCTCATAGCATGTATGAATCTGGAAGACTTTATACTGAGTGAAATTAGTCAGTCACAAAAGGACAAATATTGTACGAGACCACTAGTATAAGAACTTAAGAAAAGGTCTAAATACAGAACAAAACACTCTTTGATGGTTACGAGGGTGGTGAGGGAGGGAGAGGGGAATTCACTAACTAGATAGTAGACAAGAATTATCTTAGGTGAAGGGAAGGACAACACACAATACAGGGGAAGTCAGCACCACTGGACTAAACCAAAAGCTCTGAAGTTTCCTGAATACAACCAAACACTTTGAGGGACAGTGTAGCAGGGGCAGGGGTCTGGGGACTATGGTTGCAGGGGACATCTAGGTCAGTTGACATAACAAAGTTTGTTAAGAAAATGTTCTGCATCCCACTTTGGTGAGTGGTGTCTGGGGTCTTAAAAGCTTGTGAGCGCCCATCTGAGATGCATCAGTTGGTTCCAACTCACCTAGAGCAAAGAAGAATGAAAAACACCAAAGACACAAGGATAATATTAGCCCAAGGGACAAAAGGAGCCCCATAAACCAGAGCCTCCATCAGCCTGAGACCAGAAGAACTAGATGGTGCCCAGCTACACCAATGACTGCCCTGACAGAGAACACAACAGAGAGTGCCTGACAGAGCAGGAGGAAAGTGGGGTGCAGAACTCAAATTCTAGTTAAAAAGAAAAAAAAAAAACGTAATTAATGGTCTGACTGAGAGTAGAGGAACCCCAGAGTACATGGCTCCCAGACTCTGTTAACCTAGAACTAAAACCATTCCCAAAGCCAACTCTTCAGACAAAGATTAGACTGGACTCTGGGACATAAAATGATACTTATAAGGGGTGTGCTTCTTAGTTCAAGTAGATACACGAGACTAAATGGGCAGCTCCTGTCCAGATTCGAGATGAGAAGGCAGGAAGGGATAGGAGCTGGTTGAATGGACACGGGAAATCTGGAGTGGAAAGGAGGAATGAGCGGTCACTTTATAGGGATAGCTACTAGGGTCACATAAGAATGTGTATATAAATGTATGAGAAACTAACTTGAGCTGTAAACTTTCACCTATAGCACAAGTAAAAAAAAAGTTAGCTCTTAATGTGTGCTATGTGAAACAAATCTTTTTCCCCCAGTTTCTTCTTTATCTTTTGATTGTGACTTTTTTTTTTTTTTTTTTGCTTATTGCAGTTAGATATACCTTTTATTGTGTAGCTTCTGAATTTTTTTGTTTTTGTCTTTTTTGTTGTTGTTGTCACTGTTCTTTGGTTTTTGGTTTTTCCTTTGGGTCATATTTAGGGCTTCCCCGCTCTTGGATTATAATAGATATTCTCCTATGTTTTCTCTAGTGTTTTTATGATTTCAGTTTTTACATGTTAAAGTGTGTTCTGTTTGAAATGTCTTTTGATATGTATAAATTCTAAATTTACATTTTTTCAAAAAAAGTTTCCCCAGTGGCTACCCAGTTGTCCATTAATACTTACATTGAATAACCTCTTTTTTTCACACTGATACACCATGTCATCTTTATCATATGTTTTTATTTCCCTGTTTACACCACAGATGATTTCAGTATTTTTATTGAATTCAGTGTAATCTGTTGAATTGGTGTCTCATAAATTTCTTAATTATTCCCTTTTTTCTCTACTATTTTAAGAAATGCTATAGTGAACATTTAAAAAAAATTCCTTATAATTATTAATCCCAAACTACCTTATGATTTCCTTTATGGATATACAAACATACATTTATAGTCTGTTTTGAAAGTTATGTAAAGTTGCATCTTGTTAAGCTGCACAAAAAGCCAAGCTAGAAAGAGCTGTGTTTTATGCACAAGGATGTGAGAAAATCAACTCCTTGTAATTGAGACTCCTCTGAAGATAAGTAGGATTGTACATGAATAGAGAGAAACATGCTTTTTATCATGTATTATATAAAAGGCCTATTTCCAAACTACCGAATCACATGAAAAAACTGGTGTAAAAACTTTATTGATCCAAGAGAATGGTGAGTCAGGGTGCATCATTTCGTTTGTTGATAGGTAGAATGGCTGAGACTGCATCAGTATGTGAAGAAACTAGGAGATAACATTTGTATTGTGGTGCATTGAGAAAATAAAACAAAAAACCAAACCTGTTGCTGTCAAATCGATTCTGACTTATAGTGACCCTATAGGACAGTGTAGACCTGCCCTGTAGAGTTGGCAAGAAGCAGCTGGTGGATTTGAACTGCTGACCTTTTGGTTAGCAGCCATAGCTCTCAACCAATGTGCCATCAGATCCATTTAATTTGGTGAAGCACCTGTGATTTTAGGTAGCGGCAACAACTATCCTGTCTTAATCTGTCTTACTCTGGAAGCTCTGCTGAAACCTGTCCACCTTGGGTGACCCTGCTGGTATTTGAAATACTAGTGGTATAGCTTCTAGCATCACAGCAACATGCAAGCCATCTCAGTGTGATAAACTGACAGACAGGTGGTAGCTTGGCAATCTCTGTCTGAAAATTAACCAGTGAAAACCTTTGGATCACAACAAAATATTGGCCAATATAGTCCTGGAAGATGAGCCCCCTAGGTTGGAAGGCATTCAAAATACCCAGTGGACACAGCAATGGACTCAGGCATACCAAGGATCATGAAGATGGTACAGGACCAGGCAATGCCTCATTCCATCACAAAGACATGGCACTCAACCTAAGGCAGAACTTCGGAGTTCTTTGTTAACCTCAACTTCCTGTCCTTTCAGCTCTTCCCCTCCTGCCTTAGGGCCCTCGTGCTCATTTCCCCTTCCTCGGGGGAACATATTTCCAGACCTTCTTTTACAGGCATTGTGGTCCACCTGCAGATTCCAACCCCGTGGGATCTGGGGTCCTGTGTTTTGAACACACACCCGGTGGTTAAGCACTTTTAGCCCTGCTAAGAGAATGAGACAGACAGCCCTAGAAGGAGATATAGAATTAAGGTATTGCCTGTTCTGGGGGTTTGCATTTCAGCAGGTCCTCCACAGTTTTATCTGAAAGGACCAAGTTCTGCCGGGAGGTTTCAAGCTTCAGGTATTAATGGAGGAGAGGAGGGAGGCTGTCTGGGAACACCTGTCCTGTGCCTTCCCACTGTGGGCTGCTATCCTCTCTGCCTCCCCTAGGCCTGACCTGCCGGATTCTGTGCACGTAAGCCACAGCATACTTTCCTTCCTTCCTATGGAAACCTCCACATATTCTTAATAAAACTATTTTATTAAGGTGGTAAAGAGTTGACTTACAGGTTCAGAATCGCAGAATGTCAGAGCTAAAAAAGCACCCACCGAAGCCCTTTTATTTTATAAATGATGCCTTATAGCTTTCTTTCTCTGTATTTTATATTCTTGTACTCTTGGAATGTTTTGACACCAGTGGCATTGTTTTCCATTTTCTCAGTGTCATACAAGCTAGGATAGTTCAGGAAATATTTAGCTTTAAGGTCTAAAAAATGTGATTTCTTTTCCTTTTAGATCTTATCTAGACTTTCTTTGCCTGCTCGTGCCCGGGAACCAGCAATGAAGCAGAGTTTTGCCTCTGACAATGTTGGCTACGAAGGCAGTCTGGACAGCGTGTCCCCTCCTTCTCAGATGGCCACTGGCACAATCAGCATTCTGGGCATGACTTGCCAGTCATGTGTCAAGTCTATCGAGGGCAAGATTTCCAGTTTGAACGGCATCGCGAGCATCCAGGTCTCCCTGCAGCAGGGCAACGCGACTGTGACGTATGTACCATCAGTCATGAGCCTGCAGCAGGTCTGCTGCCACATTGGGGACATGGGCTTCAAGGCTAGCATCGCCGAAGGAAAGGCTGCCTCTTGGCCCTGCAGGTTGTCGCCTACCGGGGAGGCTGTGGTCAAGCTTCGGGTGGAAGGCATGACCTGCCAATCCTGTGTCACTTCCATAGAGAGCAAGATAGGGAAACTGCAGGGTGTGGTGCGAGTCAGAGTCTCACTGGGCAACCAGGAAGCGGTCATCACCTATCAGCCTTATCTTATTCAACCCGAAGACCTCAGGGACCATGTCAATGACATGGGATTTGAAGCTACCATCAAGAACAAAGTGGCTCCCCTAAGCCTGGGGCCAATTGATATTGGACGATTACAAAGCACTAACCCAAAGAGACCTTCACCTCCTGCTCACCGGAGTCTCAATAGTTCTGAGACCCTGAGGGACCAAGAAAGCCATGGGGTTACCCTGCAACTGAGAGTAGATGGAATGCACTGTAAGTCTTGTGTCTTCAGTATTGAAGAAGACATAGGCCAGCTCCCAGGGGTTCAAAGTATACAAGTGTCCTTGGAGAACAGAACTGCCCAAGTACAGTTTGAGCCTTCTCGTATCTCCCCAGTGTCCCTGCAGAAGGCCATTGAGGCTCTTCCACCTGGGAACTTTAAAGTTTGTCTTCCTGATGATTCAGAATGGAGTGGGACCCAGTGCCTGCCAGGTGTCAGGCCTTCCGAACTCTATTCCTCTGGCTCCTCCCAGAGAAACCAGGGGCTTGGAGCACCCACTTCTGTGGTACTCACCATTGCTGGCATGACGTGCACTTCCTGTGTCCAGTCCATCGAAGGCATCATCTCCCAGAGGGAAGGGGTTCAGCAGATATCAGTGTCTCTGACTGAAGGGACTGGAACCATTCTCTTTAACTCTGCTGTCACTAACCCAGAAGAACTCAGAGCTGCTGTAGAGGACATGGGCTTTGAGGCTTCCATCATCTCTGGTACGTAATTAACACATTTGCAGCTGGGGTTGTCTCCTTTTCTAGTTGCGTCTTACAACACTGTGCACGGGTGACTGGGGAGGTGAGCCGTCCTCACTGCCTTAAATGTAGGTAGTGCTAGCAAAATTCGGTAACTTTTCCTTACGTGTTAAGTTTGTTAGGATAGAGGACATAGAATTTCCAAGTTTGTATGTTTTGCTTCTCGTGTACCTGAGACTAGAAAGCTGAGCTCACTGGATTTTTGGCCTCTTTTCCAGAGTATTTAATTCTGTGTTCTAAAGAGTGCTGTTGACACATCAGGCCCTTCACTCATCAAAGAAGTCAACATCACTTTCTCCGAAGATTTCTCTACTAAGCAAAACAAAGTAAAAACTGTAACGGTACCTTAGTCTCCACTCCTAGACACCATTCTCTTAAAGTGGGAATGCAAGAGTTTAACAATGATTTCGCTTGCCCTCCTTGGGCAATAAGAGAAGGGGGTGAGTGGGCATGACAGTCTAGACAAGGCAAAGTGCCCTCATATCTCGATGTCACATCACTAGGCCAGGTTTCCAGGGTGGTAGGCATCCCTGCTACCCCTTCTCTTGTTGCCCAACTGGCCAGTGGCCATTCCCTTGCCTCTTGTTTCTCTGCCACTTCCCTGCCATGAGAGCACTCCACGTGCAACACCATTATAACACATTTGCGTTTCCGCCATGTGCCAGGTCCTGTGCTAGTTGTGGGGCTGCTGATGAGTAAGGCATGGTCTCTTCTAAGAACTTATGCCTTAGCCAAGCAGAGGCCAAGATGGAGTGGACCATTACAGTGCAGCAGGACATGTCCTGTGCTAGAGGGACACAGGGTCCTGTGTGAGCCCAGTGAGGGGCTTCTCTGGTAGGGAGCTCCAGAGTTGCCTCCGGAGGGATGAGTAGGAGTGAGCCAGGTGAGGAGCAGGAAAGTGGGGGGGTGGGAATGTTGGAATCAGAGGAAGTAGTCCACACAGTGGGACAGCCTCAGTGGAAGAGGAGGAAGCTGTGGATCCAGAGAGGGCTGAGTGTGAGGACTGAGTAAGGGGTGGTGAGACATGAGGCTGGGCAGGTAGGGAGCACATCTTCAGGGCCCAGCATGCCAAGCTGAGGGATTTGGCCTGTGTTGTGAAGGTGAGGGGAGCTGCTGGTGGATTTTGAACAGAAGAAGCATGAGATCAGATTTCTGTTTTAGAAGACCAATCTGATGTCAGGGTGCAGTGTATGGATCAGAGGCCATGAGCCACTTTAGGAGGCTGGATGAGAAGTGACATGGGGCTGGAGAGCAGGAGATGGATTTGAAAGATGTCCAGGAGGTCAGATCTACCAAGCATGGTATCAGGTTAAGCATGTGTGTGTGAGAGATGGGGGAAGTACCTGAGTTGTGCAAATGGTCAGGCACTCGACTAAACCTAAAAACTAGCAGTTCAGATGCACCCAGAGGCACCTCAGAAGAAAGTCCTGGTGATCTTCTGAAAGGTAACAACCATTGAAAACCCAATGGAGCTCAACACATGAGGTCACCAGGAGTCAGAATCGACTTCACAGCAGCTGGCTTGGTTTTTTTTGTTTGGTGAGGTGAGGGAAGGCCCATGAAGGAAAGGGGTTGTCTGGGATGAGCTTTCTAACTGAGATGCTGAGGATAGTGGCATATATTGGTCTTGAATTGGGAGGAGTGGGGAGCAGGGCTAGAAATGCAGATTTGAGTGTTGCTAGCATATAGGGAGAGCCATGGGAGATGATGAGAAGACCCAGGAAGAGTGAGAGGTGACAGGAGCAGGAAGATCTCGATGGCATTGGTATGGAAGGAAGTGGTGCGTAGAGGAGGAGGCTCTCCACACAGGCTACCTGAGAGGGCCTCAGAAGGGTGGAGTCCTGGAAACAGGTGGAGTTTCAGGGGCCACAGAGAGGTCATGGAAGCCATGACCTCTGAAAGTGTCAGATTTACAATGTTGCTAGTCCATAGACATTTACAGTGTGTGCTAGCAGGAGGCTGGTAGTGTCGGGGTCCAGGTTAAGGGGAAGCCAGCCTGCATAGGTGGGGAGGAGGTGGAGGCCACCCAGTAGCTTAGCTGGGGAGGGGTGGAGAAGGGGGATCAATAGGTAGAGGGAATTTCAGAGAGATTGAAGATAAGGAGGGAGAGGGGAGCATGGGGCAGTAGTTCTGTTTGGAGACAGACAACTATTTTTAACTGTTAAGATCTCAACGTACAGGCTCTGTCGTTAAGCTTGGATCTGAGGACTGGGCTGGAACTTGGACAGCTTCATCAGCCTCGGGCTGGGGGTGGGTGCTGCTGTGGACTGGTCGCTGGGTTCTCAGGGCAAAGCCCATTTGCAGCGCTCTGGGCCACTCAGCCTTTGGCTTCTCACATCCAGCTTCCTGTGGCCACAGAAATAAAGCTTGTCTGCTTGAAAATTCTGCTCTGTTGTGATAACTTTCCTCTCTCCCTCTGTACTCACACATGCCATTAAAGGGAGTGTGTGAGTCATGTGGACAACCTTGGCTACATCCTAGACTTGGTTTTGTGTATTAAGTTTGTGGAAGGAGTTTTTAAAAAGCAAAAATCAATAAGGAAAACAAAAGAAAAGTAAATCTTGTACTCAGAAGGTAAAAAGTGTAGTACAGGGTCAACATCTGCTATATTGTTTGAGGTTTAGAGTCTTTGAGAATGAGGTTCTCGACACTGAGAAGAAATTAGCATTAAACTGCACATTACAGAATAATTGAATTTAACTGAGTAAATCTCAAGAACAGTGACTTTTATTGGGCAGAATTATGAGAATTGTATTTAGCCTAAGAGGTATTTAGGATACCATATTTAGCAAATGAAAATATAGAATTCCTAGTTAAATTTTAATTTCAGATCAACAAATAATTTTTTAGTATAAGTGTATCCCATACAATATTTGGGACATTGTTCCCTGTTGCTATTGCTGTCGAGTCAATTCCAACTCATAGCAACCCTATAGGACAGAGTAGAACTGCCCCATAAGGTTTCCAAGGAGCAGCTGGTGGATTCCAACTGCTGACCTTTTGGTTAGCAGCTGAACTCTTAACCACTGCACCACCAGGGCTACTTGCACTAAAAAAATTATTCATTGTTTATTTGAAAATCAAATTTATCTGGGTGTCCTATATTTGATCTGACAACCTATATTTAGAATAAACCATTAATGTGTCTTTTATAGCTATTTACATGCTAAAAATGTGTTATTTCTATTTGATCAGTAATTGTATACTGAGTAGGAGCTCCTTGAGGACATTCTTTAAACCGTAAGTGGCTTGTTTCTCTTCTGGGTCACTAGCACCCAACGCATACTAGGTATTTGTGGAGGAAATGAAAGCAAGAGTTTCACATGCCACAGAAAGGGCTGTAACAGGTGCAGTCCCAGGGTAGCCCATTGGAGGGAATTTAATACTAAGAACTAATTGCAAAGGCGATAGAAGAAAAGCTAAGCAGGGATGGGGGAGGAAACCCAAGAGATTAACAACAGCAGGAAGCCACCGTTCTCCAGGGCTGCGGATTTTTGGTGTCACCATAGCCCAGGGACCGAGGTTGCCTGGTGGAACTGGACCCCTAGGGCCTCAGAGAGAAAGACTGTGGGCAGGAGTTGGACTCCCAGGGAGAGATGGGGAACCCCCTGGCTTTTCCCCTTTCTGTCCTACCACTTCCCTCACGTTATCTCACACAGACCAAACGTAATCAGAAACCAGTTGACAAGGGAGTCTGGGACAAGTGTCTGCAGGAGTCAGCCCCCTGTAGTAGAGAGCGGAGCAGAGGAAGGGTGGGGTATGGATCTGAGACCAGAGAGGCAAGTGGCAGGCACTGAATGTCAGTCAGCTGAACTACTAAAAATACATTTTCCACCTCATTTTCATCTAGGAGACAACTCTACACTGGTTTGTGTGATAAATATTTTTCAAATGAATGAATGAGCAAATGGAATGAGTCAATGAATGAATGGATTACAGGAATATAAACCAGAAAACCAAACGTTGCTGTCGAGTTGATTCTGACTCATAGCGACCCTATAGGACAGAGTAGAACTGCCCTATAGGGTTTCCAAGGAGCGGCTGGTGGATTTGAACTGCCAACGTTTTGGTTAGCAGCCAAGTTCTTAACCACTATGGCACCAGGGTTCCAACCACCCTTATGGTGAGGCATTACTGGTTCAGTGGTAGTATTCTCACCTTCCATGCTGGAGACCCAGGTTTGATTCGCAGCAGTGCAGCTCTTGTGCAGCCACTGCCCATCTGTCAGTGGAGGCTTATGTGTTGCTATGATGCTGAACAGGTTTCAGCAGAGCTTCCAGACTAAGACAGACTGGGAAGAAAGGCCTGGTGATCTTCTTCTGAAAATCTGCCAGTGAAAACCTGTGGATCACAATGGTCCAATCCTTGACCAATCATGGGGATGGCACAGGACAGGGCAGTGTTTTTTCCATTGTGCATGGGGTCGCCATGCGTCAGGGGCCAACTTAATGGCAGCTGACAACAACAACACTCTTGTAAATGGGTAATGGCACTTTCAGGAGCACTCTTCACTCAGCACATGTTAAGGACCTGCTGGGTGCCAGGCACTGTGCTGGGTACCATGAAGTGCTCAAGGCTAATAAGGTTTAGCACCTGTCCATATGTGGTTCACAGATATGGATCCTACAAGGCAGGTTCCAATAAATGCAACCAGGAAGGTACAGATAAAGTGCGCTGGGGATTCAGAAGATGAGAAAGTCCAACATCTGGTTGTGGGGCTCCCCAAAGACTTGATAGTAGAGGTAGCATGGAGCTGGCTTGGAAGAATGGATAGGATTTCAGCAGACAGAAATGGTCGGGGCATCAGGTTGCACACGAGACAGTGGGCACAAGCAAAAGCCTGAAGGCGGGGGGCCTCCAGGTATGTTTTGGAGGAGTCTGGTTGGGATGGAGCTTAGGGTATCAGTAATGGGAGATAAAGTCAGAAAGACCAATACCCTGCTCCAAGCCACCATCCTCCCTCTCCTGGGTCCTAGAAAAACCTCCAAACTGGTCTCCCTACTCCCTGCCTTTCAGCCCTATGGTCTGCCCCAGCCAGCATTCAGAGTGGTCCGTCAACTCTGCTGAAAACCCCCCAGACTTTCCCACCTCCCTGTTGGAAAGAAAAGTTTTTGCAACGGTCTAGAGACCACCTCCCCCTGCCCGTGATCTTTCTGATCCCTTGCTGTTCTTTAGTGCAGCCTTGCTCTCCCCTCTGTCTGGAATGCTCTTCCCCCCAAAATCTGCACTGCTTGTACTCTCATTTTTATCAGTACAGCCCACGTTGGTCACCCTATTTCATGCTACGGCCTCCTCATCCCCAGCTCCTACCCCCAGCTCTTTTTCTCTCTTCCCTGTTTGGTTTTTCTCCATAGCACTTATAACCAGTGACAGTCCGTGTTTGATGTATTTGCGTGTTGTCTGGTTCCTCCCAGTAGGGCAGGGCTTTTTCTCTTGTTTCCTGCTGTATCCCCACTAGCTAGCAGAGTGCCAGACACATGGTTGTTGTTAGCTGCTGTCAAGTCGCTCCCGACTCATGACGACCCCATGCACAATGGAACAAAATGCTGCCAGGCCTTGCCAATTCCATGATTGGTTGAGGATCACACTGTTGTGATCCACAGGGTTTTCATTGGCTGATTTGCAGAAGTAGATCACCAGGCCTTTCTTCCTAGCCCATCTTAGTGTGGAAGCTCCACTGAAACCTGTTTAGCCTCATGGCAGCACACAGGCCTCCACTGACAGGTAGTGGCTGCACATGAGGTGCACTGGTCAGGAATAGAACCTGGGTCTCCCCCTGAACCAGACACATGGTGGGCACTCAATAAGTATTGGTTGAATTAATTGGGAACTCATGGGGGACCTTGAATGCTAACTGAAGCATTTGTCCTTAACATGGAGAGCAGTGGGAGACTGCTGAAGGTTTCTGAGTATATGTGTGCACTGTCCCAGCAAAGCTTTAAGACGTTAATCCTCTAGACTGAAACGCCACATGGATGAGAAGGGACAGAATGGAATTGGGAGGCTGCACATTGGTCCAACTGGTGCACACCACAACCTGAGCCAGTGGAGCAGTGATGGCAAGGAAGAGGTGATGGCTGCTTGTGAAATTAGGGAGGTGACTGAGCTGGGGCGTGGCACATGATTAGGTGTTGCGTGTGCTGGGGAGTAGGAAGGGAGAGGCAAAGAGAAGGAAGGGACAGCTTAGATTGCAAACCTGCTAGGAATAGCAACAGAACAGAGAATTCAGGGTAAGGAATTGGCTCAGGCCAGGGTTGGTGAAGATGTTACATTTGATTTTTAAAATGGTGACTTCACATTTTAAACGGTATAGTCAGAAATTTAGAACTATCATTCCAACACAGAGAGCTGGGCAAGTTAATTCAATAGCTCTCAGCTTCAGTTTCTCCATCTTCAAAATGAGGATAAGAGAAATATCTACTTCAGAGGATGACCACGAGCATCAAATAAGCTAATACGCAGTGCCTGATACATAATAATTGCTCCAACAAAACCATTCTTTCCCTCAGCTAGCATTTATGCAGGGCTGCAGTGTGCCAGGCTCTGCGCTAGTCGTGAGTGTGGTGGTGTGCACATCAGAGCCCCTGCGCCCCAGGAGCTGAATTCTGGTCAGAGAGGACAAAGACAGGTGAACGGGTTAATGAATAATAGTTTCAGGAGGTGGTAAATGATACAGAGAAAACATAAGCAGAGTCAGGGAATAGGAGGTGGGTGGTCAGGGAAGGCTTTCCAAGGAGGCGCCATTGAGCAGGGGTCTGAGTGATGAGAATGAGTGAGTCAGGCAGAGATCTGAGGACGAGCAGTGAAAAGGCATGGCAGTAGAGCGGAACAGAAGGCCTGGCTAGCAGGGAGGCTGATGTGGGTGGAGAGACGCATGAGGGGCCATGCTCGGAGATGGGGCTGAGGGCAGGCAGGAGCCAGGCCAGGTGGGGCTTTGTAGGCTGCAGTTTCTGTTCTTGTTGTTATAATAATAATAATAGCAACAACAATAGCTATTATTATTAATAGTGGAAATGCTAATAGTAAATGATAGCAAAAGTAAGATTGAAGATGAATTTAGAATTAATTTAAAAATAACACAAGTAATACATGTTCATTGTAGAAAAAATTGTAAATTTTAGATAAGCAAAAGGGGCCAAAAATATTCTATAATCCTACCACTGTTCATGAACAGCGGTTTATAACCCATGTTTAACATTTTTTGTATATGGTCTTCCAGACTTTTTCTAAAGCAGATATAAAATTTTTCAAATATATGTTTATGTTATACATAGTCTTATAATCTCTTTTTACCCTACAGTTTATTATAAACATATCTTTAGGTCCACGCAGATGTCTGTGGCCCAATGTTTAATGGCCGCATAGCATCCCGTTGTATGCATGGACTGTAATTCACTCAGCCAGCTTCCTGTTACATCGTTCCCATCTTGTTTGTGTGCATGTGATTGTTGGACTATGGACATTTTTGAGGCTAAATCTTTGTGCCCATACTTAATTATTCCCCCGAGTTAAGTATTTAAATGCATAATTGCTGGGTCAGAGGGTATAAACATTTTCATTTCATTTCATCAGCAAATCCTTATTGAGCCTCTCCTAAGCACTAAGCAGTTTGGGGTACGGTTTTTCGTAATGTTATCAAATAGACTTCCAGAAGTCTGAATCAGTTTACACGCTCACCACTAGCATTGGCATGGATTGATAAAGGACCCAATAGCATAGGTTTGCTTGGGTTTTTGTTGATTTAACTTCCTTTAGTAATCTCTAGAAGCCCAGAATTTAGTTGGGCCATACTCCCTTGTTAGAGATTACCAGGTTAGTAAAAGGATATGGAATTATCTGTAATAGCATGAATATTACTGAAACGGCATTTGGATAGACAGGCAGGTGAATTTAGAAAATGGGCAATGGACTGGGAAAATAGGGAGGGATTAGGCAGGTGTCGGAGGGTTGAATCTACTGTTCTGGAAAAAAAATTATTTGTTCTTTTAATTTCAATTACTTCTGACATTTTATCCTAGAAAACTGTTCTGGCAACCATTTTGGAAGCCACAGTGCCAGGAATTCCATGGCGCAAACTACAGGTGGTGCACCTCTGTCTATACAGGAAACAGCTCCCCATGCCAGGGTGCTCCCTCGAAGACACCACCCTGGCCACTCGTCAGAGTCACCGCAGTCATCGCAAACAGTGGCGCCACAGAAGTGCTGCTTACAGATCACAGGCATGACCTGTGCGTCCTGCGTGTCTAACATAGAGAGGAATCTGCAAAAAGAAGCTGGTGAGAGATTTCGGTCCGTGTTACCTTGAGAACGCTGCCGTAGACTGTTGTACACTAGAATCCTAAAACCGGCGTCTGTTCTCCCTTCAGAGTCTCCAGTGACCGTGTTTACCAGTAGCCCTGATAACCTGATAGCAGATTCATTTTATGATGGTATAGATGTCTGTGTAATGCTCTTGGGCAGTTGGCATTCTGTTCTCTAAGAGGTATTTAATTTATTTGAGAAAAAATACATCTCTGACTAAGTTAGCCATGGAAAACCCAGTTTAAAGGTCATGGAACATCCCATGGGTAGACTCCTTAGTTTGTTTGTCCTGGCATTTATTCAGTTTTTCCCCTTCCAGTCCCATCAGCCCCTTACTATGATGTACAAATAGCCTGTGTTTTGGGGAGGAGTTCAGTTTCAAACCTTCTGTCCTGTTGTCCCTGCAACCCATCAAATGTTGCAGAAATGCCAGAATTTTTTCCCTTTAAACCACATTTCCAATACTGTCTCTTAAGTCTGAAAGTGCAACAAAAATCCTGTCCCAGTTTTTTGTTTGAAAAATATCTTAACCGTGACTGCCTTGCTTCCTATGTCACTGTCTATCTTTCCTCACCCAGGTGGTTCCATGTGCCTTTCTGCTCTGATTCCCTGGCCCTTAGGATCAACCTCGGATTAGGATGACGCCTTTTTCTAACCTCTTGTCACCATGTTTTATCACTTCCTGCAGCTCTAGAATGACCGTTCTCAAATTGAGGTGTATTGGGGTGTCTCCGTTGCCAGTGGTCTGACTGCCCATAAAGTTGACCTGTGTTTTACTTGCTGGCTCCAATCCATCTTTATCTCCCTTATGGCGTCTTTTCTAAAGCACATCATTCCTTTTATTTAAAGGAGGCTCTTTTTAAAACTAGCCCAATAGTGTTAGTAAGATAGTTTGTGGGGTTTCTTTTTCTCTCCCTAAAGTTATTAAAAGCAGAAAAAGAATAAGGAAAACCATTTTTGAAAATTTTGTATTTTTCCCTTGTATCAAAGTGTCTGGAGGAAAAAGTAAGTATATCCTTGATGTAACAATATTTGATAGGTGCAGATGGTATCCCTTGCTTTCTTTTTTTTAATGTGGTAAAAATAGATATAACAAAACATTGATCAGTTCAACAATATTTACATGTGTAATTCAGAGGCATTGATTATGTTCATGTTGTGCAACCATTACCACTATCCATTTTCAGTTTATTCCACCGTCTTTAATAAAACCTCAATGCCCCCTGAGCATGGGTCCTCTTTTCCCCCTTCCTCCCTATCCTTTGCTTTTGATGTGTGTGTGACCATCAGTGTCTTCTGAAGCCCTACTCAAACTGTGGTCCCAGGACCAGCAGCCTTGACATCATCTGGGAGTGGTTAGATCCTGCCCCAGGTCTGCTGAGTCGGAGTCTGTAGTTTAACAAAATCCCCAGGTGATTCATATGCCGATTGAAGTTTAAGAAACATTGTTCTAGAACCGTGGTTCTCCATCTTGGCTGCACATTGGAATCACCTGAGAAGCTTTTAAAACTAATAATGCCAACCTCCCACCCTGAGAGAGTCTGCTCTAATTGGTCTGGGTTAAGATCCAGGCATCTTGATTGTCAGAAACTTCCCAGGTGACCCAAATGTGAAGCCAAGTTGGAGAACTGCTAGAGGCTTCCTGGAGAGAGACTTTCCTTTGTTACATTATGTGAAGCATGCCACCCCAGAGGGCTTGGCTAGATTGTGATAGCTATGACCTGATGGTTTCAGGTGTTCTCTCCGTGCTGGTATCCTTGATGGCTGGAAAGGCAGAGGTCAAATATAATCCGGAAATCATCCAGCCACTTGAAATAGCTCAGCTCATCAAGAAGTTGGGCTATGAGGCAGCAGTAATGGAAGACTACACAGGCTCAGATGGCAACATCGAGCTTACTGTAAGTACACTGGCTGGGTTAGAGAGCTAGAGGGCTTTTGGGTTAGGGAGCTGCTGGCTTCTGATAATTTGCAGATGAATTTCTAGTGGCAACGTTGATCAGTAAATGTCTACTTATCTTGGATATACCCTATTTGGTGTTGTTGGTTTTTTATTTTGTTTTGTTTTCCTTTGATGCCAACAGCAATGGGCTGTTCATTTTGTGAAGGAAGGTCAGTTATGTCCAAAGTCGTAGGAGTGGATGCAACTGAGTGCATTGAGGGCACGTGGCGGGTCCCAGGACTTTTAGACAAAGAGGAATTAAAAATGTTTTGAGCTTGGTGGCTTGGGGGAGGCTGAATACGGCAGTGCATAAAGCCTAAAGGAAGCTAGAATGCCTGCAGGTATCTCAGGACTAGGAGAGGGGAGTCAGCACGTTAGCGGGTGCCACTAAGAAATGGAGAGAGATTGTTAGTAGGCACGTGGGTGCTTAGGAGGTAGCTGGTGACCAAAGTGTCCCAGCAGTCTGAGGCTGATGCCTAAAGTGGTTGCTGTTCCCAGTGTGTTTTGGGGGAAGGGGAGGTATGGTTTCCTGTCTACTCGCTGTTACCCATGTCAACAAATAATTCCCAGTACAGTAAGTCCTAAGAACGGACTGCCATAAAGCCTGTTGTATTAAAAATTTGAGTTAAATACAATGGTTAACCTTTAATCATCTTTTTTCCTATCTAAACTGTTTTAAGAACTGTTTCTTTAATTTTGTTTACAGTACTGTGTACCTACACACATACACACACACACAAATTCTCTCTCTTCAGTACAGTACTGAATGTAGTTACTTTTATTATTACTGTATTATTATTGTATATTGTATTACTGGAGCCCTGGTGGTGCAGTGGTTAAGAGCTCAGCTCCTAACCAAATGGTTGGCAATTCGAATCCACCAGCCATTCCTTGGAAACTCTATGGTACAGTTCTACTCTGTCCTGTAGGGTCACTCAAGTTGGAATTGACTTGATAGCAACAGATTTGATTTTTGTTTTGTTTTATTGTATTACTATGTTTAAGGTGTTTTAGTCTATTTGGAGGAGCCCCGGTGGCACCGTGGTTAAGCATTCAGCTGCTAACCAAAAGGTCAGCAGTTCGAATCCACCAGCTCCTCCTTGAAAACCTATGGGGCAGTTCCAGTGTGTCCTGTAGGGTCACTATGAGTCATAATTGACTCAACGGCAACAAGTATAGTATATGGTAGTGTATTTGGAAGTGTTTCTTAAGTGTTTTATATACATAGAAAGGTAAAATACATACTGTATATTAAGACAAACATTTGAGTAATTCACGGTAAATAAGAACCGCATGTACCTATTCTGACTTACCTATAAATTTGACTTAAAGACAGACTTAGGAACAGATCTCGTTTGTAACCCAGGGATTGCCTGTGCTTAGAATCTGCTGTGTTTGCAAACACTTCTGTACAAAGTTCTTTTTGTGTAAACAAAGGGAGACTTAGAGGAAACCCACAAGGAATTGAGTAATGCTGTTCTACGAAGGTAAAAAGGTCTTTTAATTCCTTAATGTGTTTCGTCACTGCCGTGAGTGGTAAGTAAATGTTTGAAAAAGTGTTGAGGTCGTAGGTTGCACACTGAGCTCCTGATAAGTGGTGTTCTTTGTTGAGCAGACTTTTTGCTGTGATGGCCCCCTGTGCGTTAGGGCAAAGTGCGGTAACTCACTGGGTTACAGCTTGGAGCAGCCCTGCGATAGGACCAGGTCCCTGCTGCAAGCCTCCAGGTGTGACATAGACACTTACCTGCTCAGGTTGCTTGTGGAAAGTCTTAATCAAGGATATTACTGGGAAAGGTTAAAAAAATTTTTAAAGAATGTTTTTATTATAGCATTTTTTTTTTAAGCAGTGTCAGTGGTCCTGTTGTCATCATGTGTTCACAGACCCTTTATGTAGATGTCTAGATTTTATTAGTGTTCTACCAAGTGCTGACCACTGATACTCAAAAGAGTGAATTGCCTGGTTTGCATAATAGATTACAGGAACAGGAGGTCACACGTCATGCTTTTTCTCATGTCAAGACACAGCATGGTATGGCAGAAGTGGAGTAAACCTCTGTTTATACTGAGCTTGAATTCTGGCTCTGTCACTGCAGGGATTTTTGCTATTGTCAGGTGCCGTCGAGTCGGTACTGATTCATAGTGACCCCATGTACAACAGAACGAAACACTGCCCAGTCCTGCGCCATCCTCGTAATCATTGCTATGTTTGAGCCCATTGTTGCAGCCACTGTGTCAATCCATCTTGTTGAGGATCTTCCTCTTCTTTGCTGACCCTCTACCAAGCACGATGTCCTTCTCCAGGGATTGATCCCTCCCAATAAACATGTCCAAAGTATGTGAGACGTAGGCTCACTGTCCTCGCTTCTAAGGAGCGTTCTGGCTGTACTTCTTCCAAGACAAATTTGTTTGTTCTTGTGGCAGTCCATGGTGTATTCAATATTCTTCACCAGCACCATAATTCAGAGGTGTCAATTCTTCTTCAGTCTTCTTTATTCATTGTCCAGCTTTCACATGCATATGAGGCAGCTGAAAACACTATGGCTTGTGTTGGATGCACCTTAGTCCTCAAGGTGACGTCTTTGCTTTTTATCACTTTAAAGCGGTCTTTTACAGCAGATTTGCCCAATGCAGTGCATCCTTTGATTTCTTAATTGCTTCTTCCATGGATGTGGATTGTGGATACTGCAGGGACTAGCCGCAGGAATTTTTCTTCACCTTGCTGAACCTGTTCCTCTGATGGTGACACTGCACGGACCCTAGAGCCAGACTGTGTTGGCTCCTGTTCCAGCTTTACCACTCACTGGCTGTGTGACTTCGGGCAGTGCCACAGTTACCAAGACCTATGTCATAGGGTTGTTGTGAGCATGAAAGTGCCTAGGACAGTGCCTGGTACATTGTAAGTGCTCTTAAGTGGCTCCTATTATTATTTTAAAAATAAAAAGAGCTTAAGAGCACCACTGAAATATTTGCAGACTGTATACAATTCTGTCTGCACAGCCACCTGCCAGCAGGTAAGCCCCTCGTCTTCTCCTTGGGTTCTCTGCCCAGGTGAATGTGTTGTGGTTGTAGATGCACTTCTCTCTCCTTTTCTGCATAATTCCAGATGGGACTCTCATCTTTTTTGGTATTTGAATGTGGCACTACTGATGCAGATTTCAATTGCAGCTCCAATTATCATTCCAGTGCTCACCACCAGAGTGGCTTCCTGCAAAGTGTCTGGGTTAGCACACATTTTTTAGCTGAGTATGCAAGAGCCTTCATGCTGTATACCCAACCAGCTTTGCCAGCTTCCCTCCTCTTCCTCTCCTGCGTACATCCTGTGCCCCAGCTGAACGTGGCCGTTGATGGCTGCTTGGACACCTGGTGCTGTCCTGCCTTTTGCCTTTTCCTGAGCTGCTCTCTCTCTATGCAGAACCTCATGCTACCCTTACCTTCACCTGTCGACACCCTGTCCATACTTTGGGACCACCTCAGATTTCATCTCTTCAGTCATTTCCTAAATCCTTTCCTCCTGTTGATAATGAAGAATTGACATTGTCGCCTTGGCGCCTCCACTGCACTGCAGTAGGAGGGTATTCATAGCAGCTGCTGATCGGATGCTAGCGACACTCAGGATTATGCAGAGGTGTAGACGTTCAGAGGGCTTTGCGGAGGTACACAGCCTTGCCCTTTGGCAGCAGAGGACAGGCATGCATTCTCATCCCCACATTGTGGTGAGATAACCGAGACAGCCGGGTAGAGGTGGCTTATGGAAGACCATGGTTGTTAGAGCCAGAAGTCAAGCCTTGGTCTGCTGCCATCTGTTCAGTGATGAGCTATTTCTCCTGTCCTTAGTGGAGAAGAATGTTTGTGTCCATGAAGCCCCTGAGGATGCTAGGGGTGGAAATCTTGCACATGGAATTTGGAGGTGGGAGTCTAGTCTTGGGAGCATGCTGTAGAGAAGAAAAGGCTTGTGGCTGCCTTTCAACAGAACTCCCTGATGTGCCTTTGATAGGTCCCTGACGAGGCTGTTGGTGGGACTGTTGTCATCTTGTGTTACAGATCAGAGGGATGACGTGTGCTTCCTGTGTTCATAACATAGAGTCCAAGCTCATGAGGACAAACGGCATCACCTATGCCTCGGTGGCCCTGGCCACTAGCAAAGCCTACATTAAGTTTGATCCTGAAATTATTGGTCCACGGGATATTATAAAAATTATTGAGGTAAGTCATTTATTTAAAAATTATGCTCACCATTTTAAACACATAATCATTTTATAATTGTTGTAGAAGAATGAGAACATATAGCTAAGCAAAAAGAAAAGAATGGTGAAAATTACCTAAATTTCTTCAACTTTTCCCATCAAATAAGGTCAATCATTTTAAAATAAACTTGTGAAGGTAAGTAGATATCATCGTCTGAGGGGAAAAATCAGTGGATGAGTAAAAAAAAGATGGGAAAAATTATTATAGTTTTAATTTCAGTTATTCCCTAAGAAACATCAAAACAGCCAAAATATCTGGCACATGGGGTTAAGTTGGCCCCATTGTAATTTTAAAGTATTATTTATATCTCAAAGGACTGTTAGTATTGGAAATAATTGTACCACATTTTGCTACTATGCTAGGCTTGCTTATAATGGGATGATTTGTAATTTCAGCTTTGGAAAATCACTCGGAGTTGTTCCCACGTGCTCCCTGCCTCCTGCTCTCCCCTTCGGTTTGTTCACACATCATTTCCTTTTTAAGGTCTATGTTGTGCTGGACTGTAAGAGAATGAGCGTTAGTGGTGACCTCAGTGGGCTGTTAGAAAATCAGCCAAGACCAAACCAGATTAACCTGTAACAACTAGTAGTAAAGATAAATTAAGTTGAGCGGGAACTACTACTTCCATTGCTTTTGAAATGAAGCATCTTTGCAGCAGGGTTAACGTTGTCCTGATTTTCTCTTCATTGTGTGTATGCTTTGTTTTCTTAAAGAGGTACTGTCTGTTTTATGACCTAGCAGAGATTTTGGGCATGTAACTAAGATGGTGATGATATAATGCCTCACACTTGGAGGCAGGTAACAGAGCTCACTTTATCAGATGAGGACAGAGCCTTGCAGAGGTTAAGTGACTTTGCTCAGTGGTACACAGCTAACGGGGCTGAACTGGGGCTCAAACCCAGATGTTATAATTCCAAGGTCAGCAGCTTTTCTTTCCTCCGCAGTGTTAAAGAACAGTAGTGATATGGCAAGGATGAGGCGCAGAAGTCAGACTGATAGAACAAGCAGTAGGGAGAATTGCAGGTGGTAGCTTTGACCTTGAGCACACCTCAGTTGCCCTTCCTTATGATAATACCTTGCTTGCCTTCGCGGAGCCCTGAGCCTGGTGCAGCATCCTCTTGGTCCTTACCTGAGGGATGTTGCCTCTGTTCTTACCTCCTGGGGCACCTTTTCCTGATATGACTAGGCTGGTATTGGTTGTGAAAGGATTTCTCTTTAGATAGCCTTCGATGCTCTTTCTCCCATCATAACCTTTTATTTTCGTGTTAAAGCCCAGTACCAATTCTGAGGCTCATCCCTGCATTGTGCTGACGGACAGGATGGTTCCTTGCATCCTTTCCTGTTAGGTATTCATGAGCATGTCAGAGACTTAGTTATCAGGTCAAAGATGGCAGGGAGGATGTGGAGTGAGGTGGTAAAAGAAGTGCTTGAGTCAATCCCTGAAAAAGATAGGACTGGGTGCAGTCCTTGCCAGGCCACCGTGGGAAACACGGCCTCCAGGTACTAAAGGAGTCGGTTCTGCTCCAGTGGGAGGGTCACGGTCTGTGAGTCTACAGACCTGCATGCTGGATCTGGCGCTTTTGACAACCCGGTGACTTTGGGCAAGTTTTTTAACCTCTGAGTCCTTCAGTTTCCTCATGTTCAGGATGAAAGTACTCATACCATTTGACATTTGGGATTCCCCAGCTCCAAAATTCTGAGTATGTGACTCAACGTTGATCAGCTTTGGGGCCTGGTAAAGTTACCATCCTAGAACCTGCTGCCTTTGCAAACGGGAACAGGAACGGCCCTCTGTAGCCATTTCTCTATGGGTGAGACAGCTACAAGCAGAGATGCATGCTGAACCTCTGAACAGAGTACATAGGCGATTTAGGTAAAAAAGTCCCAAAGAGGAACAGCCAGTCCAGTCTTCGGAGGTAATTTTGGATTAACTTCCTAATTTCAAAAAATGTATTGTGATGTTGGTAAAATGCTTTCTTCCAATGCATGTTTTAACCAAGCACCCTCCTCGATCCCTACCCCTTTCTTTTTTGTAACAAGGAAATTGGCTTTCATGCTTCCTTGGCCCAGAGGGACCCCAACGCTCATCACTTGGACCACAAGCTGGAAATAAAGCAGTAGGTAGAACAGAAAAGTAAAACTGAAGCTCTTGTCTAAGTACCTTCTCTGTGGGCGTGACTCTGTGGCTCATCCTGCACTGATGCCTTCCTGCTCACCTGTGCCCCTGCTGTCCCTGGCTTCCCATGGCTTCTTCCACTTGGATTGCCTTTACCCTTGTAAGGCCCTTTAGAGTAGAGCTGTCCAATAGAACTTCATGCAATAATGGGAATGTTCTATATCTGTGCTGTCCAGTATGATAGCTACTAGCCACATGTGGCTATTGAGCATTTGGAATGTGGCTAATGTGACAGGAGAACTGAATTTTTAATTTTTTTTTTTTTAATTTTAATAACCACATGTGGCAGGTGGCCAAAGAATTAGACAGCACTTAAGTTGGGAGTGAGGGAATATTGAGTTGTTCTTTTACAGTATTTTAAGACTTTATTTGATTGGGTTCTAGGACTAGGATCAGAGGACTGGTCTCATGGCCAAGTGGGAAGACAATGGGTTCTGGGATACGCGGGTTCATTCATCATTTCAGTTGTTCATGTATTCATTCAGCACACATTGAGGCCGCTGTGTGTGTTCAGGTTCCTGGGCTGGTGCTGGGGATGATGGAATGTTGTCCCTACCTGAAGAGGGGCCCCTAGTGTGGCTGGGGATGAGTGAGTGAACAGCGACAGCAGTGATTCAAGTGGATCCTGGGGAGGTCAGGGAAACCTCCAAGCAGGGGACACATAATTTGAGCTGGAAAGGATAAGCAGAAATTTGCTTGGCTGAGGGAGTAGAGGTGGAAGTGGGGGTCCTGTAGGGGCATGGAGGCAGAGATGGCCTTCAGGGACCTGTGTGGTTTGCTCTGATTGGCATGCCTGGAGCAAGGGGGCGCTGACAGGAGAGGCATCTGGAAAGCTAGTGTGGAGCTGAGTCTCGAGGGCCCTCGAGTATAAGCTTGAGAAGTGTGAGGCCTTACCTTGCAGACTGGTGGTTTTCAAGCTGTGTTTAAGGTGCATTAGAAGTCTCCCAGCCACTCTGTTAGAACTTCGTGAATGCTGAAGATGGCATGAGACCACAGCTGTCACCCACACTCCTAGTTTCAAACTTAGGTCTTCATTAAGACACCGTCACTATTTTCACTGACTTTATTATAAGTAATTGTATTAAAATAGAATGTGTCAGTGAGTTTATACTAATAAAATACTACATTTTGAAATAACAGCTGTAGGCAGCCATAGACTGAGAATGCAAAACCTCTCTGGGGTTAACTTCTCCATCTCCAGGCTCAGTTGCCTCACCTATACGTTGGAAGTAATTCATCAGCTGCGTGAAGACAGGAGACTGGACCTAAATGTCTCTGGAGGATCCTTGCAGCTGTGTTTAGACCTTTAGAAATTCCCTCAGATGGCCAGTCTCAGGGAGAGAGCCATTTTGTTTTAGCCTTTGGTGGTCTTGCCCAGACATGTGACAGTAGCAAGTGTCTTAATCATCTAGTGCTGCTCCAACAGAGATACCACAAGTGGACGGCTTCAACAAAGAGAAGTCCATTCTCTCACAGTCCAATAGGCTACAAGTCCAAATGCAGGGCATCAGCTCCAGGGGAACGCTTTCTCCATCGGCTCTGGAGGAAGGTCCGTGTCATCAGTCTTCCTTTGGTCTGGGAGCATCTCAGCGCAGGAACCTCAGGTCCAAAGGATGCGCTCTGCTCCTGGCACTGCTTTCTTGGTGGTATGAGGTTCCCGTGTGTCTCTGCTCACTTCTCTCTTTTATATCTTGAAAGAGATTGGATTAAGACACTATCTAACTTGTAGACGTCATCAGTATAACCTCATAATGATAGAGTTTACAGCACATAAGGAGATCACGTATAACCTCATCATAGTGATAGTTTACAACACATAAGGAGATCACATCAGATTACACAGTCGTACAATACTGAGAATCATGACCTAGCCAAGTTGCCACACACATTTTTGGGGGGGCACAATTCAGTCCATGACAGCAAGTCTCAAACCAAGTCCTCAGGAGGGAGCCAGCCTGTGACCCAGTGAGAAGCGGCGTCTGATACATCTATGTGGCTGCATTTGCTTTCAGGTGGAAGAAGTCTTTCCTGTGCAGCCTGGTGTTTGGCATTCCTGTTATGGGTTTAATGATCTATATGCTAATACCCAGCCACGAGCCTCATGAGTCTATGGTCCTGGACCACAACATCCTCCCGGGACTGTCCATTCTAAACCTCATCTTCTTCATCCTGTGTACCTTTGTCCAGGTGGGTATTAGAAAGACAGGCAGACCTTTGCCCCTGTGCTTGCTCTGTTCTCTTATGCAAATGCAGCCTGTAGTTGGTCATGTGGCACTTTACTAAAGCTTTTCAGCCCCACATGCAGCCAGTTGCTGCCCTCTAACATGGATGACTAAGAAGAGCCTGGTTCCACTGTGGGTTTCAGAGTTGGTTGCTGTGATCAGAACTCTCCCTGGGAGGACTGGTGAACCAGAGGTTGTCTCTGATTTGCTTATTGTTTGGCCTAATTTACCTGTGTTGTTGGAAGTAGCACCTGGACCATCCTGGAGCTTATGCTCCTCTTGGAAGGCAGAAATGTGGCTCTTATGTTTGAGGAAAAGAGAGGCCTCATAGAACTTCTGATCTTGGGTAATATTAAGGAACTAGTCATGTTTCTGGTGGGAAATGTGCCCTTTATGCATATATTTTGGAATTGTAAAATTAAACTCCTTACTTAATATTACAGTGTTTAATTTAGAACTATTTGGGGGCAGGCATTTGTAGGCTGAATTTTTTCCCCTGTTTTCTTTTTAGTTACAAATGTAATATACACTTACTGTAAACAATTCAAGCCATAGTATAAGAAGAAAAGGAGAAGATAGTCTTTCATTAATCACAGCCTCCCCTCCAGCCCAGTTCTATTCCCCAGGGTTACTGTAGTTTTATTAATAGTTGTAACTGAGTGTGTATCTTTCCAGATCTTCATCTATATAGAGAATATACACATTTGTGTGTGTGTTTGTGTTTGGCATGTTCGCCTAATACAGACACACGTACTTTTTTAACTGAAATGGGATTCTAGTAGACGTACTGACTTTGTAACTGGCTTTTTCACTTAACCATGTGTCACAGACATGTCTCACACCAGTGGCTTATAGATGTAGCCCATCCTCCTTAGGTCTGCAGAGCACAGTCCACAGTATGAATGAACCATAATGTATGTAACCGTCCTCCTGTTTGTGGACAGTTGGGTTGTGTAAGCTGGTTTTTAAAGCCTCACGTGCCCTTAATCATCCATTCCTGAGTCAGGAAGTACATTTCTTAAACATCAGTTACAGAGGAAAAGTAATGTCCAAACTGTGCAAAAACCTAGAGTATTTGCCACCCTGAGCAGCCTCTTGAGGTAAGGTTGCTCGTTGAACTGTATTCCTTGCTCGTAGGCAGTCTTCACTCTTCCTCCTCTGTCTTCCAGTTCCTCGGTGGGTGGTATTTCTACGTCCAGGCCTACAAGTCTCTGAAACACAGGACGGCCAACATGGACGTGCTCATCGTGCTGGCCACAAGCATCGCCTATGTCTATTCTCTGGTGATCCTGGTGGTAGCCATCGCCGAGAGGGCCGAGAGGAGCCCCGTGACGTTCTTTGACACGCCCCCCATGCTGTTTGTGTTCATTGCCCTTGGGCGATGGCTGGAACACGTGGCAAAGGTAACTACAGCTTCAGGCTTAAAAAAAGCTGTTCCTTTAGTAAGAAATCTCAATTCATCCAAACACCGTGTGTAGAATAACTAATTATACACAAGGTAGAGACTTAAAGAAATATGAAACCTGCATATAATTAGGTGCTCTGATCACTAATCTCCAAATTAGTTGCTCTTTCTGAAATCCCAGCTAATCTGGTTAATTGTTAAGGCCTTTCTTCAGGTGCATTGTAGAGTGGGAGGAACTGTGGGCTTCAGGTCAGAGCTCACACCATCTCTTAGTATATCACTTAGCATATAACTTGTTGGTCTGGAAATCTGTGTTTCCACTTTATAGCCATGCTGTTTTTAACACCCTGCGTTGTACCCAGCTTTTAACATATCCTGTAACCCTGGTGGCGTAGTGGTTAAGAGCTACAACTGCTAACCAAAAGGCTGGCAGTTCAAATCCACCAGGCTCTCCTTGAAAACTCTGTGGGGCAGTTCTACTCTATCCTATACGGTCACTATGAGTTGGAATCGACTCTTTGGCAATGGGTTTGGTTTTTTTTTTAATAAAAGAATGAGACTCAGGCCCCAAAAGGAATTAGATTGACCTAAAAGAAAACAGTCAATGGGAAGACTGGTGTTTGTTTTTTTAATCTGAGGTGTAATTCATAGAACTGAATGGCATAGGCCCCGTGGACTCCGTGTGATGATGATGCAGCTGAGTGTCGGTAACCGCATCATGCTACAGCCTTTTGGTATAGGGGCGGCCGTGTGAGGGAGCTCCCTTTCCCCCACAGGCTCTCCCAGTCACTTCCAACACCAGCCTTGTGGGTGTTGGTCTAGGTTTGATAGGTCAGATTACAATAGCTCTGGTTTATATTCTGGTTGTTTCTTAGAGCAAGACCTCAGAAGCCCTTGCCAAACTCATGTCTCTCCAAGCCACAGAAGCCACTGTTGTGACCCTTGGTGAGGACAACATAATCATCAGGTGTGTTAAATCTTGGCAAATAACCTAAAGTTATTAAAAACAACCAAGGTCGTGTCTGTATGCTAGTGGTAAATGAGACGTACAGACTACTAGTATTCCAAGCATTTAGAAGAGGAAGGCTAATAATGATAGGCAAAGAAAACTTCAAAGAGAACATGGAATGTGATCTGAGACTATCTTGCAAGATTTTAGGATTCAGACAAGCAGAGAGAAAAGGGCTTCAATTTGCCAAACAATAACAATGGCAATAGGATTTATCTTCTTTATAAGGTTGGCTGATATTCACAATTATCATTATTACCATTATCGCTGAAACTTAGATAGCACTTACTGTCTCAGACACTGTTCTAGCCTCTTTGTATTTAATCTAACCCACCCCTCTCCCCCACCCAAAACAAAACCTTGTAAACAAGACACTGTTATTATCCTTATTTTACAGATGAGGAAACTGAGGTTCAGAGACATTAAGCAACTGGCCCAAGGTCACACAGCTATTAAGTAGTGGAATTAGGATATAACCCAGGGAGTCATTCTTAACCCTTACACATACTGACTCTTAAAGCATATTTAATAATATGAACATTTTTATAGTATTCCCTGGTCAGCCTCTTTTTTTTATTCTGGGCAGTGGTTATTTCAAACCTTCTTCTTAGTCCTGAAATGTCTCTCTGGCCCCACTGCTTTCCTCTGGAGCCTGTGATCTCAGTACTTAGTGTAATGGAGATAGAAGGTACGGATCCTGCCACTCAACCTGCAGACTGAGCCTTCACCCCCCAGGCAGCCTCCCGCCCTCCTACCCCAGTGGAAGAAGAGGCCTCTCCACTGATTTTCTCATTGATCTTCAGTGTTTCTCTCTTTCCTGATTCTTACCACCCACTAGGACATATACTCTAGACTTTCCTTTTGTTAAACAACCCTCCCTGGACCCCACATCCCTGCTACCTTCATCCTTTTTCCACTGAGCTCCTTAGAAGAGAGGTTTCCGTGGGCCTTCTCTCCTGCCTCACGTCCTGGTTATTCCCTGCGCCCACCCCTCGCAACCACTGCCAAGGCCATCATGACTTCTGGGTTTTATTGCTAAATCCCACGAACACCGCTTGGTCCTTTTCTTACTAATCTATCAGCTGCATTTGCCATGAGCCCACTTGCTCATCCTCAGAGTCTTCTGGTTCTTTGGCTTCTCCCATCCAGTTCCTGCTTGTCCACCTGCTTCTCTGCTGCTCCTCCTTAGTCTTCCTCGTGGGCACCTCATCCGTTCCCTCCTTTCCTCTCTTCTCGTTTCCCACTCAGTCACCACATCTGATCAGTCACCGCATCTCGTTGACTTTATTTCCTGAATATCTCTTCATTCTGTTTAATTCTGTCTGTCCAACTGTCAGCTCTTGTCTGACTGCTTGTCTGAGCATGCCTGCCCTGTGCCCTCCATTCTCTGCATTGACGCCAGACTGAAACGCAAGCTAAAACCGCCCTGTGGCTCACTTTTGGATTAGAATCAGGTGCAGACTCTTAGCAGGGCAGAAGGGTTCCTGCATCATCTGGCCTCTTGATGAACTCACCAGCACTGTGGAGGCTGTTCTTCGGCCCCACTGGCCAACTTTCAGAGTCCCTGAGTGATGCAAGGAAACCCTGGTGACGTAGTGGTTGGTTGGCAGTTGGAATCCACCAGGCGCTCTTTGGAAACCCTGTGGGACAGTTCTTCTCTGTCCTGTAGGGTCACTGTGAGTCAGAATCGACTCGACAGCATCGGGTTTGGTTTTTGGTTTTGAGTGGCGCAAATAGTTTAAGTGCTTAAGAAAGGCTGGCAGGTCCCTGGACTCTTTTGTTACCCGAAAACTAAAATCATTCTCAAGGCCAACTCTTCATAAAAAGATTACACTGGACTATGAGACATAAAATGATACTTGTGAAGAGTGGGCTTCGAAACTCAAATAGATACATGCGACTAAATGGCAGCTTCTGTCCGGAGGTGAGATGAAAGGCAGAAAGGGTCAGGAGCTGGTTGAATGGATACGGGAAATCTGAGGTGGAAAGGAGGGGTGTGCTGTCACAGTAGAGGGAGAGCAACTAGAGTCACAACAATGTATGTATAAATTTTTGTATGAGAGACTGACGAATTGTAAACTTTCACTTAAAGCACCAGTAAAAAAAAAAAAAAAAAAGAAAGGCTGGCAGTTTGAACCTACCCAGAAGTACCTTGGAAGGAAGTCCTGGCAGTCTGCTTCTAAAAGGTCACAGCCTTGAAAACCCTATGGAGTGCAGTTCTACTCTGAAACACGTGGGGTCACCATGAGTCAGAATCAACTCATCAGTAACTGGTTTGGTTTTTATGGAGATGGGCAACTTTCAGTCCTTGGAAGGCACTGCCTCTATGCTTCCACACATGCTGTTCCCTGGGCCTGCAGCATCCCCTACCACAGCCTCTGGGCCACACCAACTCCTGCTGGGTGTTCAAGCCTCACCTTCGATACCGCCTCTTCCAGGAAGCTCCCCGTGTGTAGATGAGTCTAGTTACCTGTCCCTCCCGAGTCCCTTTGCCACCCTGTTCTTGCCTGTTCAGTGCGCTGTAGCCAGTGCCCGTTCATGCAGCTATGTCCTCCATGCGCCCGAGACAGCTGAGGCAGGTCTCTTGTCCCCAGTGGTGCCTCCAGAGCAGGGGCGCAGGGAACATTTGCTGAGGGATGAACCAGTGCGCGCAACACAGGATGAAACATTAACGAGGCGGAATCTGACCCTGCCTGTTCCGTGGCGGCACTGGGTTTAGCCTGGAGGCTGGCTTTGAAATAATAATTATATAATTATAACAATGATGGCTGAAATTGAGTACTTCCTGTGTGCCAGCTACACCACTAAGCACTTTACTAAATTATCTAGTTCATCCTGATAACCTCGCTGTGCGGTAGGCGCTGTCATTGTCCCCATTTTCATGAGGAAGCATCTAAAGGTCACAGAGATGAGTCACATGCCCTGGCAGGAAAGAGCTGAAGCTGGACTGAGACGCAGGCGTCTGGCCACTGGGCCCACCCTCTTAGCCACCACGCGACACTGTCTCCCAGACCAAGGATCTGCTGTGATCTGACACTTGGCACTTCTGGGCTCCCACTCACACTGCTCCGGTGGCTCTGCAGCCTTATAACATCCCCACGTGTTTTCTTCTTATAAGTCAACAACATGGACGCTTCTGAGAAGTGAAAACAGACAGGGAATAAAGCTGTGGATGACTGCGTTTTGTTTTGACTCATCTCTGACTAGTCCCGTTGGACTCTTGCTCCCATTGTGAAGTGCCTTTGATAGCATTCCACAATTGCTTGGAACCGCTCCGCTGATTTGAATACAAGGAGACATGGGTCTTTGCCAGAAGGGGCAAGCCATTGAGAAGTGGGAAGAAGGTGGGGCTACACCTGTCATAACTCACTGCTTTTCCAAAGACAGTGATTAATTTCTGGGCTGTGCACACACAGTGTGGGTCCAACTGCTCCCATCACCACATGGCAGTAACATTTTTAAAGTTAGGAGCTGGAAGACCGGAGTTCTGTCCTGGCCTTGCCTCCACGACCGTGTGCTGGGCTGGTCATTTCACCCCTCTGTTACACAATCCTGTCTGTTGAACAAGGGTGGCCGTTTCCACCCACCTTCCTGGCAAGATGCTCTGGGCTGCAAGGAGGGCCTGGGGCCAAGTCCACACCCTGCTCTCCCAGGCCCAAGGCTGCTCTCTGTCCCCGGGTCGCAGCAGTCTAGGTAACTTTTGAGGTAGTGTAACGGGAGGCGTGCTTGTGCCAAGTCAGCCTCGCCCCCCACAGGAGCCTCCTGCGCCTGAGCCACACTGTGCAGACAAGCCTGCAGCTCCTGGGCCACCCCCTTCTCAAGGCGATTGGAGTTTCCCAGCGAGGCTCGAGGCCTTTCCCTCCCTCCCTCATTCTCTCCTTCCCTCCTTCTCTCCCTCCCTCCACAGGGAACACCTGTCCTAAATCATGGTACTGTGAGCATTTACATGGACGATCAATCTGACATATTATTATTTCTTACTGCTGCTTCTCAGTCTCCTTTGTGGAATTTCTTTGCTCTACTCAGTCCTGAAATATCAGAGATCCTTGGGGTTTCACCTATTGCAGACTGCTGCTGGGAGTTCTCCCCCCTCGTCTTCAGTTACCATCCACGTGGAGATCTTTTTCACACCTTCCCCCAGATCCAACTGGAACGTTTTCTCTTGGGTGGCTCATAAAGCATCAAACTCTCCCACCATCTTCCCTCCCTGCTCCACTCCCAGATTCTTCTTCCTCCTCCTCTTGTGCTCTGTCAGCAAATGACACTGTCATACGTCAGCTCCCAAGGAAAGTCCTCTGTGACTCCTTCTTTCCCACATCCAGTTCACACCCTCTGGGTTCTAGCCCCAAAGTCTCCTCTGCTGTTACCCACCGTCGCTGCTCCCTGTGGCCACTGCCTCTCCCCCAAAACTACAGCAGTTGCCTCATGGCCTCCTACTTCTCCATATTCAAATCAGTGATCTTTCTGAAGCACAGACCTGATTGCATTATTCAGCTGCAGAAAACCACTCAATGATTTCTTTTTGTCCTTAATAAAGTTCAGATTTCTTCATAAGGCCCCTCTGCCCCTGTGTGTGTCCTGATGGTGCTGCTCCTCCGTCTCCTGCTCCAGCCACCTGCAGCACCGTGCGCCTCCCGGCTTCTGTGCTTGCGTTCCTTCCATGGAATGCCACTCCTTCTCTGTCTGGCCACTTATCCCTCAGGTCTCAACTGGGATGTCACATCCTCTGAAAGCCTTTCCTGATCCCCCCAAATTGTTGGCGTTTCTCAGGCTTCTTCGGGTTCTGTGCTTAAAATCACCCTGGGACAGAAACGTGGCTGGGGCGCAGACAACGTACTAGTTGAATGAAAGAAACAACTGCAGAATGTTAACAGAAATGCATTACATAACATCTGTGTGTTTGATATTAAAGGGCCTACACTACCCGGTCCCCAGTCTTCCACATTCAGGTTTTCTGT